TATCTAGCAGCTATCTCAAAAAATCTGGTGTAGATTTAGCAGAGCATGCTTTTCTGCTAGCTAAACAGAAGAGATTGCTTTGCTTTTGATTGCCAGCATATGTAGGTTGGTACTTGACTTTGGGGTACCTTTATATGATATTCTGTTTGACTTCACTTGCAACTTTTAGCAGCTTCTAGAAAAATAATTATCAGTCTGCTAGGATCTAAGTGACATGACTCAAATATTTTCTGATCTATTTGAGACCTTGATGTTACTCTGCATGTTTTTCTTTTTTTTTTTTGAGAGGTCCTCTCATGAAGGGTAGAGAGGGATGCATAACCATGCAAAGGAGAAAAATTTCCAAAACTTTTCTTTTTTATATGTATATATACAGGCAGAGAACTTGTCTAATTTAGAATTGTTGCCATGAAGTAGCTATGAAGTAGCTTGAACTAGAGAAGCACAGCCCAGCCTCTGGACAAATTTTGGAAATAGTCAAAGGTGATCATTTCTTCCCTGCAAGCCAAAAATAGAGGGGAATATAAAGGAAATTTTACATGTCTCTGGAGCCATCTGTGGCAATTATTTGTTTAAAGAAACAAATTACACTTCTGAATTTCTTGCAATAAGTAGTTTATTGAACTATGAAAATGGTGTTTCAGGAGAATGCTTGTGGCTTTGCTGAAGGGCAGGTTGAATACATGGTATAATTAGTTTAATTTTTTTTAAACAGAAGTTTAAAACTATTTATCGAAAGTTTCAAGAAACTTGCAGGGTTGAAATAACTTCTGTGTGATGCAACTGTTGGTGGCTTTCTGAATTCTAATCTTGTACTTCAAAAGAGCTGCACCCTGTGTGGGTGCAAAGCATCACTTGCAGATTAAGAATAGAGGAGACATCAATTCCTTACTTCATTACTATGGTAACTGAAATGTGATCCAGTTCCATTGCATCTAGTATATGTTCAAAGCAAAGCTTCTGAGATGGGTCCTCAGACTGCTTCTATTCCTCTCAAACATTTAACACACAAACCCGCATCTCTTCTGCTTAAAAACTATTTATTCTTTTTGTGGCATAACGATTACCTGGTACATACTTTGTAATCCAAATTCTACAGACTTTTGTCAAGGGAACAAACTCAGTAAAGTCATTAAATGATGACATTTCATAATCCACTTCCATGATCCCTTTACGGGTCTTCTCCTCTCATCTCGCTTCCATTGTGCTCCTTGCCACCCCTTCCCCCCTTAGTAAAGGGGGCAGTGCCTTGGGACAAGGCAAGGGGGGGGGGGGAAGTAAAATACTACAATTCAAATTTGAGACCTTTTTTTGCCCATTGATACCAAATGTTTCAGGAACTTGTCTGTTAGCTTTCTTGTTAGTTTGGGTCAAGTTAGCTAATCATGTGAGCTTTCTTCTACTTCCCACCTGCTAAGAAAACATCCACAAGAAACACGGATACAGGACATAGGGTCTCATTGAGTTAGGCTGCCGGTGTTGGGACATATATGTGTTTGGTCAGAAACATGTTTCAAACAAACCTTTAGAAGATAACAAATATTCAGGTGCGTGTATGTTGAAGTCCTTTGCACTAGCATCATGAACATGCAGTTGTATTATAGATCATCTCTATAGTCAGATCTCATTACTACAATGGTTAGTGGTGTATATATATTCTAAGGCTAATTATTTATGGTATGTTATCAGGTGGAGTTTGGGGCATGGGTGAAGGCTAGCAGGAATTAATTTTCTCTGGGCTCTGTCAGCTCAGGCATATGACTTGCACTGGAAACAAGTATGGAAAGGCACAAGTGATACACAGAGGGAAATGAGCATAACTATACAATTCATTTCTCCTTAGGTGAGAGATGAATGTGCTGCTTCTCAGCTTCTTTCAAATTAAATATACTAAATTTACTGAAGAAACAATCTGTGTGTTAATTCTTATTGTTTCTAGAACAATGGTATTGCAGGTATTCTTACAGGCACAGGGTCTCAGAAAATACCACTTCACAATAAAGTCCTGGCCAAGCTAATGTCTATGGTGTCCTCTCTAAAAGCTTTATTATAACCTTTCCAGGCATACTCCCCTACTCCTGTATCCTGTGTTACATTCCTCAAAAAGAGGTGACTTTTTACAGCACTCCCAATGTCCCTTCATCCATGCTAATTAGTCATTTTGGTTCTGGCTGAGGCTGTGTCTGTGGAAATGGCACATCCTAGTAAGAGCAGCTATGCAGTACAGCAGAACAGTTGGTGTTGGGGAATCATGATGTGCATTAGATGTCTCTTTTGTGGTCTGCTTCAGACTGGCTCACCTGGTCCGTTGGCCTCAAATGTTCATTAGCAATGGGAGTGTATCAGCTAGTCTTCCAGTTCAGCTTCACCCAAAAGAAGTCTAATTTGTACACTCCAAGATTACTTTGACATGAAAACTGAAGCATGGTAAATGGGGATTGGTAATGTTGCTTCAAAAGCATGCTCATGATCTAAGCTAGAACACCAATATAAATGCAAACTGAGTTCTCCTGCAGAAAAAAAAAAAAAAAGTTTTATTTGCTTTCAGAGTGAACTACTTTGTGGTCTTAATATAGCAGAGCATTTAAATACTCTTCCACTGTTTCAAGGAGATCATGTCAGTGGGCACATGCCAGGGTGTAACTGGCTGATGACCTCTGATAAGAAACTCGCTTAAGATAAACAGGGTTTGATGGCATTTCACTTCAACTAGTGGTTACTGGTTGACTAGCTGACAATTAGCAGAGAATCACCCACAGTCATTCACAAGATCGAGCACTTAACTCTGTTACTGGCATGCCAGTAATCTTAGCAACAAGAAAAGGAGAAGAATAAGTTGAGTTGCCCAAATTGCCCAAAGAAAGAGTTTGGTTATTTGCAGAACAAAGAAACAAAAAATTCTGAAAGCTTTGAGATTGTCTAAATTTTCTCTGCATCAAAAGCCTGCATTTCAAAACTCTACTAAAACTAAGAAATCATGGATGTATTGTTTAGACACATAAATTACTCTGATTCTGGCTGTTATTTTTTAAAAGGGGGAGAGAGGCAATGACTGTAGAACTGAAACAATTTTAAGTGTTTTAATTGGAGTGGTGTGTTTCATACAGTTCTCTAGAGCTTCTTTCTGTGTCAGTCACAGCATATTACAATACTATATTATATAAATACAGCAATATGCATTTAAAATAATCGTTATGCAGGTTGGAGATGCTCCTCAGCCTGAACGTGTCAGAGGAGCAGTTCTCATCCACTGGAAGCATAAACCTGGTGTGGGGTCTCTCCCCCCAAGTTAGTCATGTATGCTTTACTAGCTGATAGCATACATAACTTAAGAAATCATTTTCTATATATATAAGTGAGCTTGACTTCCAGATTGAAATATTAATGCATTGGTGGGACATAGTAATAGATTCTGTTGTGGCTATTTATGGTCCTGTGAACTCTACTAATTTCCTGTTTCCTGTAACTGAGACATCTCGGTTAATTTCCATAAACGTTTTCTCTGTGAAAGCCCTCAAACAACATGAAGATGTTTTTATCGCTATGATTATTTTATTTGGTTGATCTTGTCAAATTTGTTGGGAGTAGAGAATTTACTAATAGTTTTGGCATAGATTGGGTCATTTTGTTTTGCTCTTTCTATGGGAGTGTTTTATGTGTTTCTGCTTACCCCAGCCATTAATATGATGCAGTAAGGTACTGAAACCTACTGAAATCTGAGTTTAGTAATAGGCAAAAGGTACATGAAAGGATTAAATGTGTTTTGCACTTCCTGGCCAAACCCCACGATATATTCTCATAGTTGTGGGTTCTGATTCATAAAGATTTAATCTGTAGCTGTGTTTCAATAGCAGCTAGCCCACTTGTGAGGCATGTACCTTTGTGTCTTGAGTCTGGATGGTCTTATGATCTCATTCCAGATTAGAAATGGAGATCCCTTTAAAAATGAGACTGAGTGGACTTTAAGATGATGGGAAGCTTTTAACTGAGCTCAAGTAGTTTTTTAGCTATTACACTTTATTTTGTATGACACACCTTAAATTGAGATATTCATACTGTGCTTCATGGTTATTGGGTTTTTTCAAATACAGGATACTGGCATATGGTGACTGCACACTGCATGATTTGCTCTGTGTAAGCTCCCTGGTTCCGGCCTAAGAAATGAGGATAGGATTTTCTTGTTTTATTCCTTTAGATGCAATGCTTAGCTGGAGGCAGGCAACCAAAGCACCTTTAATTAGATGAAGTCCTTACTGCCTCCAATTTTTCATTTGCGTGTTATTACATTAATAAAATATGAAGCTGTCACTCTGAGAGAGGGGAGGCAGAGGTTAAGCAATTCTTGTCTTCTGTCTCATGGCACAGGAATAGAGTCCCTAATCTGGCACCCTGCCTTGCTACAAACACGCAGACTGGAACTTATCTGAGTGTACAGGGTTTGGTAAAGATATGTCTGTGACTAACCCTGATCAAACTCAAGGCATTGTTCTGAACATCACTATGAAGTATATTACAAATAGTGACAATAAGTTCCCACAGCATGCAAATCAGAAATCCTGTAAGTTAGTGGTTTCATAGACTATACTAATGATCTTTGATCATTAATTCTTGGTTTGAGTGACTAAATCTAAAATTTGATCTGCCACATCATGATTTAAATATAAATATAGGCAGAGGTTACTGTACGAAACATTCCAATTATTGCTAAATAAACCGTGGAACATACTAAGGTTATTTACAAGAGTTTTGTTGGCGTAAATGCTAGGAGTGGTATCAGTGCTGGTCTAATGATCTGTTATAGATCCTCCAAGTAAAAACAAATGACAGTATTACCAACGTCTTGGTTAACCTGGGAATTTGGACTCTGCTTTTTGACTCTATGAAAATATCTTACAGTGTATGAAATACTCTACGGACAGTTAACTTTGACATTTATGACACACATTGTTTTTGCCTTTTGAATGACTCTCAGTTAGATGGTCTCTTTACCTTCCTTTCAGAAAAGACGACGGCGAATTGACCGAAGCATGATTGGGGAGCCAACAAACTTTGTTCACACAGCTCATGTAGGATCAGGAGACCTATTCAGTGGAATGAATTCGGTAAGTATAAGCAGATGAATATTTCATCTTGGAATACAGGAACACTGTATATGTATATGGTGGCTGAAGCAATGAGGCTTTCAACTATAAGAAAGAATCTCTATAAAACTGAAGAACAACCTGCTAGCATCTTAATTCCAAGTCCTAAACACTTGCATTCAAGGTTATGGAATACCATTTTTAAAATTCCTGTATTTATTGACAATTCATAGTAGATGCTGTATATATTGTACAAGCTATGTCTAGAATACTTTTTTAAAAAATCATTCTGATGGCATGTAAAACTAAACTAAAACTAACTAAAATAGAGGTATATTACTAGAGTATTTTAGAGAAAGCTTTAAAAAGTGTCAATAATTGACTAGATTTCTTACCTTAGATGCTTTAAGTAATTTTAAATATAGTTCATGTAAAACTCTAACTTAGCTTGGTTTATAGTGTACACAAATATTTTTGGTGTCCTTATTGATGTTTTTCTATACTCTGTAGCCCTATTTGCACTGTGAATTATTTCCAGAGCAAGTAACAGTGTCACAAGGTTTTATAGCTTCCTGTAGGTGATAGGAGCAATAAAGATTTTTATCTCTCTGAAAGTGAAAAATAGAGGCTAAGATGGATACTGAAAATCAGCTTATTATTTCTTTTGCACAGCTTTGTATTTATGTGAAATGTCAATCTGTTTTTAAGGTTAGTAATATGCAATCTAGAAAAGGATTGTATGTAGGTAATGATGAAAAATACTTCTTGACAAGGCAGAAGAAAGAGTTCTGTCAGAGGTATCTGAATAGAGAGCAGAGCTGTAAAGGAAAGAGGTGTTTTTAATGTAGGCAAGTGAGGTCATCTGTAGTTTCAACTAGTTTACAGCTTATTGAGATCAGACGAAAACTTTTGTAACTCCGTGTGTATTGGGGAAGGGCAAAGCTAGAAAATCTGATGTGACAGACCGTATACTACCTTTTCCCAGAAACAACATAATGGATGGGAATTGATTTGTACTAAAACATCTGTAAGCAAGTTAAATGGACAAACACAGCTTCAACTTGATAAAATTCAGTTAAAGCTAATTACTTACTTAATGCAGTCTATTACATTAATATTTAAAGCCTTTATAAAATGAAATAATAAAGTGAGCAGTTTTCTTTCTTTTTAAAGCATGGCTTTTTGGTTTTTAAATGTTTGTTGTTCCTCTTGTGAGAACCTTCCTCTTTCTCACAGCTGAGCTGCCTTGTGTGGGGTTTGTGGTCACTGGTTGAAGCTTTGCTGTTTCACCTCAGACTTTCCCCCTGCTTGCCCTCACCTTTGCCTTGCGTAATATCCAATTCACCTCCAGATAGTAGGCAATCATTATTGTCTCTCTACATAGACTTTTTAATTTTGAATGCTCATAACTGGCTATCTCTTTCCCTCACTTTTCATTTGGATAATGTGCTGCATCAGTGGCCAGAGTGATTTTTCTGATCCCAGATATAAACAATCTGTATGTAAAAAATAATCCTTTTTGTCCCTCTCTCTCTTCAGAAGCACAAATCTCTACTTTTTCATACTGCTTATTTTCCTGCCTCTTCTGTGGTAACTTACTGTGCTAATATTGCATCCAGTCTCTTTGTCCATTCTTAGCAGTGTAAATTCCAAGATTATGGTGTTAACCTCCACATGTTTTTCTGCTGATTAATTTCTTTTGAAGTGTGGACATTATACTCCTTCGTGAACCTCCTTGTGCCTTCTCTCGTCTGAATGCCTTAGGAGGACCTCCTGCAATTTCATTAGCTTTTCCCATATAAATTTGGTTCTTCACCCACTATCTGCTCTGTGCCTTTTTTCATCAGCATTGTTCTTTATTACATGTCCTTATGATTCTGAGTACAGTAGTTTTTTGACTACTGAAATATTTTGCTTTTTTTTTGCCTTCTCTGTAGGGCGCCTTGCTCCTTTGTCAAAGGTACGCTTAAACAGTAGGAATCCCCTGTGCACTGTTTCTTTCTCATTCCCATCGCTTTCTTATTTTACCTTCATATTCCATGGTGAAATCTCTCACTTTCTTCTTCTGCTTCATATTCCTCAGTTTAGTCTTTGATTTCATGTATTCCATCCTTTTCTTAGTTTTCCCTTGTTTTCTTTGTCAAGGACCATCTGTGCTATTTCCTAATTCTAAAAGGGAGGGAAAGAAAAGGAAAGAAGGAAATTAATGAGATAGATAAGCAGCACAACAGATTGTGTGATCTTTAATTGGTGCAAACCTCTTCCCCTTCTAAAATCTTTAAATCCTTATCCTACCTAAATTACACATAAGAGGGAAGAACCTTGCTGTTATATATCATCAAAGGAAGGCAATAGCATATTTGAGAAACTAAAAATAATTGCATTTCATGGTGCTTGTTCTTGTAGCTCAGACTGCCTCAAAAGGAGGATGCTTCAGAAAGAATACCAACTTATAAGCCTACAATAGTTAGACCTGCTTTTTTCTCAGTGTTTTTAACATTGTACGTCTCCTGTGTAAGTTTTCATATACAAAATAGCCACTGAACTGTTAATGTAGTCGAGTTTAATTTGCTGCATTCTATTTGCTTTAGGTGTAACAGCCTCTGCATTTTAGACTGATATACTTCCTTACCCACTAACACTAACGTCTGTATGTGTGACTGAAGTAACAAAGAAATTATTCTTTCTATTACTTTATAAAAAGTAATCATAAAAATTTACACTTTAGCCTTGCAATTTGTGTTGATTTGCTGTTCTCCAAAATTTTAAAATCATATAAGCAAGTTGTCAGGGTGGAAGATGATATGGCCTGGAGATGGTTTTCTAGCTCTTTTTCACTAGAGGCAGGGTTCATTCAGATTAAATTAATGCCATCCTCAAGTCATTCTTGTGAATACGTTTACATGTATATTAATTAATTTTCTGTGGGAAAAAAAAAATTAAATTCAAACTCCTTTTGTTCCAATAAGCAACAGAAAATCCTTGATGAAGATGACGACCAGCTTGGTGAAATGTGAAAGTTCTTAAACATCACCCCATGAATGTGGTTTGCACTTCTCCACATTTTCTTACTGAGTTTGTAGTCTCTGATGTCAGACCCACTAGAGTATTGGCTCTGAACACTTTCCCCTGAAGAAAAATGTGAATATAGCTGCTTTTCTGCAGCTGTATCACTTATTTGAACAATGCACCAAGGTAGAAAGTGGTTTTACATTGCGCTGCTTGAATACGTAAAAATCAGATCCTTTGGACAGCACTGCAATATGCCACTGTTGAAGACAAAGATCCCAAAACAGGCTCCTTTTTTGACACTGGTTTGAGAAACAGTATGTAAGAAAGAGTTGTGCTGATTCATTTTGTGTGTGTGAGTGTTTTGCTTTGCTGTGGAAAAGAATATACTTGTTTTGTCTTTGTAGACAGGGAAAAAGTCATGCATGCTACTTGGAAGTATTTCTCCAGTGCTGTTTTAATACAGCTTTCTAGTGATGTTTTGAGGTCTCTATGAAGGAGCGTACATGTAATAATTGCAAGTGGTGCCCTGCAGGCACAGGCTTTCTGCAAGTTCAATTTCAGAAGCTGTAGCCTTGAAGGAATATGTTATTTTGTGCTCATTGTGTACTTGTTGTGTACGCTCTGGGGTGCAGAGAGAAAAAGGCCAAACCTTTAAGGTTGGAGTTGGCTTCCTGCAGGCATTTGGAGATGATTATTTTGACTCATGCAACACAAGCAGGAAAGAACTATGGTTTCCCTTCCTTTTTGTTGATAAAGGCAATGAAAGCCACAGGGGCATGTGCATGTCTTTGGGGGGGGGGCGGGGGCGTGGGTCTTTATGTATTTATTTGCATCAGGCTAAAAATATCTTCAAATAAGCTATTTTCAGGGAAGTTGATAGATTGAGTATGATTTAAACAGTAAATGCTCTGCCATTTAAAGGACTAGTAGCAATTAAGGAAAGCAGTGTATGCTGTTACCTAAATAGATAAATAAAAAACCTTCCACAAACCAAAAGCTCCTTTTTGGTTTAGAAAGTCCTTTTTTCATTATCTGAAGTTAGCCACACAGTGCAGATACTATCCAGATATTTTGTAAGTTGTCTATTATATTTTTACTGTAGTGGTGTCAACTTCTCTGGTTTATCATACTTGGAAAAGAACATTTTCCATATAATAAATTATAGCTTGTCAGATGGAGTAGAGTTGGATACCAGTAAGAGATTTGATTAATTTTTTTTGAGTAATCAGGTGGGTCAGTGAAAGCCTAAATCAGTTTTCTTTGGGAGAGAGGAAAAACTTCTGCCTCAGCATCAGTTCTTCCACCTCTCCTGCTGAGCTGCCTGCAGAAGTGAAAATTCCAGGAAGCCTACGCTGTACATGTCCTCATGCAAAAGTAATGTAGCTTTAATGGTAAAGTAGCACTTGAAAACCAAACCTAAACAGGAAATAAAATTGGAAGCAAGAAGACGCCATAGCTCACTAACTGCCTTTCTTTTTTTCTCTGCTGCTCTTTCCCTTCTGTCTCCAGGTCAGCTCAATTCAGAACCAAATGCAGTCTAAGGGAGGCTATGGAGGTGGCATGTCTGCAAATGTTCAGATGCAGCTTGTAGATACAAAGGCAGGATAACCTTGGGGAAACCTTTCCAGTAAGTATTGCACTCTGGTTTTTAGGCACCTTTAGAGCCGTAGGAAGAACAATCATACTGCTGCATAATTAGCTCCCTATAAATAGCTGTGTTTTTACGATGCCCAATTTTAAAATGCACTTCTGAGTAAAAAATTCAGTGCAATGTAAGCATGTTAATTTTTTTACACAATGAACAAGAGATTGTCCTGACTGCATCAGTCTGTCCATAAGCCTGTTTTATACCTAAGATGATATTGTAGGCAAATCTTTGCAAGTGAAGTTAGTTGTATAACAAATCTCAGAAGAATTTTGTGGTATGATTAGGGTACGATTTTTGCAACAGTTCCATCCATTTAAGGATAATATGTATGGTGTTAAATCAATGAATAGCAATGATACAGTAGGAAAATGGTTACTCAGAATGTTCAAAACTCAGTTTAATGTGTTTTCTGTCTTCCAGGTTTATGTGAGTTCCTGTATCTTCTTTCCTGTGTCCCCTCTTTTGCCTTGGTGACTGCTTTCTGTGCTCATGACAAGAGAAGTGATGGCTCATTGTTCACCCTTTGTGATTGCTCCAGTGAAACATTGCTGTTCTGCTCTGATGATGCCATTTATCAGATTGGTCCGACTGTGCCTTTCAGTGGCATGCACACATTGGCCTCTACCAGTATCACGGACATAGAGCTGTTTAGGATTGTTTTTAGCTTTTTGTTTGTTTGAAGGTAAATCAAAGCACCAACCTTAGCTTCCCTCATCCTTCAGAAATACTAACGTGCAACATTCTGTTGCTTTTTAGTCTTTAAATCTTTTCTTCACTCAAGTAATTTAGAAATAAGTTTCCATTAATGTCTTCAATCATCTATTGTTCATACCCATTTTTGAAAGGTCTGGGACCTGCAAGCACAGATTATTATTTCATACAAAATCAGCAGAGTAGATGACCGCATGCATTGTGAGGTTGCTTCGTATGGTGGCCCGCTTGGTGCTAGAAGTAAAAAAAAAAATTGCTTACTGCAGACTGGTGAAAAATTTTGCTGTGGCACCAAGTCATGCCTGTTTCTGAAAAAGGACTTGTAACTTAGCTGCTTCAGAGTTACGTCTTTATTTTAGTTTTTATCCAACTGGTCTTGAGATAATAAAGAGAGAGCTTGCATTCATGAGGCATTTGTTGTAAATGTTCAGTATATTTATTTTGAAAGAGCTGACCTTGAGACTGTAAACCAGTGTAGTACCGTATCTAAGTGTTGTGGAAGCGCTTTAATCTATTTAAAGAAGAAAAGCATCATGTTTGGCTGCTTCTTTTTCTTTCTCCAATGTTTCTTAATTTTAGGCTGTATGGTCATTTCCAGTAGCAGCATGTCAGACTGCCTGCAATATTAGCTGAAAAGTTTAGTAGACCCCTCTAAGTAGTTGGCAGTTTCTGTGTACTAAATATTTAGGGGCCATGGAAGTTGCTATGAGCAACATACTAATCTGGCAGAACAGATGCCAATGAAAACAACACACAGGGTGACTTTTTACTAAGTCAGTAAAATGCCTTTTGCTCAGGTTCCAAAGCATGTTTCTTTCACACGTTGTGAAATTGTATTTTAATATTGCACTGTTTTCAGATTATGTCTGTAAATGGTCCTTTTTTTTCCTCTTTAGTGGTGGTTTGAGAGAAGTCAATGATTTTAGTCCTGGTTGAGTTAAATTTTTATGTGGGGAAAAAAAAAACATCCAAGCAAACAAGGCATAACTGAGCCTAGTCAGATCCATTTTTATACGTAAACACACATGTGTTCGTAAATATAGATTGCTGTCATAAATGATTCCTTATTCTTTTTCCATCCTTTCCCTGATTTCACATGGCAGTAGCTGTCAGGTTGATTTAATCATGTATGAACCTACCTACTCTTCTCTCTCAGTTCGCAAACAGCACACAAAATACAGGGCCATCGAGGTAGTTTGCCTTCCCTAAGTTGTGTTCCAGTGGTAGGTGTCAATTATCTGGTTGAATAGTTCGAATTAGGTTGGATAGTCTTCACTGATAAAGGTACTGATTGGTGACGACAGAAGATCAAGAGGTTCAATTGTCTGGGTGCATAAACACATGGCAGTGCAGTGGTATTTTTTTTTTAGGTGTCAACAATTCTAATGCCACTTTATCAATGAGTCTTAAATATACTATGATTACAAAATTATTTGAACTTTGTCATTGGTAATAGGTTTGGTAAGCAAATTTAAGCCACTATCTTGCACTTGTCAAAATGTTTTCAGCTCAATAGCCAGGAAAAAAAAAATTGACATATTTTTATAACAGACATACTTTTTTTGTACATTGTGTTCATTCTTGAATAAAGTCAGTTCAGTGTTGGCTTGTAGATATTAAAAGGAAAGTATTGACTTTGATTCAATAAATGTTTTCTTTCAGTTGGTGGCCTACCCTTTTTCTTTTTCATAAGTTACGTTTGCATTAGAAAAACACTTGCAGCCTGCAGACAACTTTATGGTGAAAATTCTCTGAAGAGTAACCTATTAGTGTCAATAACTAATTTGCAGACTTGAGCTTTTTTCATGCCACTTGACCCTTTTGTTGCCAGGTGGATTAAACCACAATTTTATTGGAAGTTTTGTTGCATTGATTTAGCGTGTATACCATGGGCTTCTGCAAGGATCTTCAAGGGAAGGTTCCTTAAAAAATACATTGGAAACCTTTATATACAGGATTTCTTTCCTTTTGACTGCAAGTGGTATGTGTGTAACTTTCTTGATTGTGATGCAGATTACTGTGGTGATCAGTAGAAGACTTAATTGTACAACTAATCATCCTAATATGCACAACTGCATTAAATATACCTGCAAGGCAGAATATTGTCTACTCTGTATTTGGCTCAATTTTTATATTTGACATTCCCAAAGTTAATTCCTTAAGCACTAATTTACTACTTTAAACTTCATGGTAAATTGTTTTGAAGACTGATAATGAATTCTTTAGCTCATGGCAAGCTCTTGAAACTGCCAGTTGAGGAAAAGACATAGTTCTAAAGGGAAAGAAAGATCAAGATAAAGCCATGAGTTACTAATCAGCTAGAGGGTTCTTTTCTTTAATTGTTGAAGTTATAGGAGTTTCGTATTGGCCACAAAGGTGTGTCTTGAAGACCAGATGTTTTAATATAACCATCTATGAAAATAAAGAATTGTGACCTCTTAAAGAAGGAGCCAGCCTGTTTACACTTAATCTTTAGTCTGCTTAGCTGCCCAAAGCAGTTGTATGAGTCAATTCATTCCTTTTGTGCCTTTTTTAATTTTTAAGTGCGAAGGTGCTGCATTAGCAACCAAGTCACTGAACATAGTCTTGGTGCCAAGTAGCACTGTACTCTGCCATGATTTGATATACCAAAAAAACCCCACCCCTCAGGTCCAGAAAATTAAGTTGTTAGGAAATCTTGCCCTGTCTACATAATGACACATTCTTACAAAGTACAATACATGTTTCATGACACAGATATTCTGACTTCAGTATTCCTTGTGCTTTTTTCTTTTTTTTTTGAGTGGGAGGAAGAGTCCATTAAATAGAATATTGATTGTCAAAGTCTAAGTTTTAAAGCTATTCCTATTCTGTGTGTATGCATGTGATTAGAGCCCATTCCTAGAGAATGGAAAGTGATTTCTGAGCTTCGTAAGGATTCTATAGATCTTCAGCACTTTATTGTATTTCGTGATCCCTATCTTCTTTGAAGATCCCTATGCACGTCACTCGAAAGATTTCATTAATTGACTGTACTTTCTCTCTTTATATGCCTTAAAAAAATAAAACAGTACTATGTCCCCTTCTGAAACTAGTAGAAAGCAGTATAGCATTTACCAAAGAAAGTTTATTAGGTTTTTATATTTGTGAAAACAGTTTAATGAAAGAGGCCTAGGTAGTACACATTCCCACAGATCACAAGCTTTTGGTGAAGATTTCACAGTGATTGTGACCCTGGATTTTGCAGTTTGGGAATATTGCATTTATTTGAATTTCAGCAGTAAAATTCCCACTTCTTATTCCATATCCCTTTTTCTATGATCACAGCTAATCAAAGAAGACTATGCACAATTATGCATATTATTATTGTATTATGCACTATTTACTCTTTAACATTTTCTTACTCCCTAAAACCAGTTGTTAACATGATAGAATGATGAAATCTGTACTAAACTGCAGAGACAGTGGTATAATGGAGTTCCATGAGCACAAACTGTTACATCAGGACACAAACAATTCCAGAGTAAAAGATGTTATAGGCTCAGTATTTGGGATGAGAGTCAGAGGCTTCTTTTGTATTAAGTCTATAAAAACATGCTGGTTGCAGCCACAGGCTCCTACTTCCCTGTACAACTAATCTACTATGGGTAAGATGTAAAAATGATAATCAGCACAGCACTACCTTATTTCTGAAGAAGTTCACCTGCCTGAAACTGATGGCACCTGCAACATGTGCTGCTGGGAAGCTAAGAGGTACTAAGTGAGGGAATTGCCAAGCAGTAAGATTCCCCAGAATGAGACATAATGAAAATTTAACCTTTTCCTGCTGGCAAAAATATCAAAGTAGCAATAGGTAAATATTAGATGGTTCTTTCAATGTTTGCTGTTAGGTGATTAGGAGCAATCTCTGTGCATAGACACAATAGGCCAGCATAACTGGAAGTTATTGTGAACTTGGACAAATAATGCTCTCTAAGTGCAAGCCATTTTTCTTGAATCATCGCTGTGAATATATAGCTCTGGCTAGATTCCTTGAAAATCAACAAAACATGACCAGACAAAACGCAGTAAAACATCCTTACTCTTGATAGATGTCCTACCTTATGCAATATTGGCCAATATTAAAACAGTATTTTGGTGAGCATATTTTAAAAGTTTATGTAATGGAGAAGAATTGGATGTGCTCTTCAGTATTTCAGGAGAAGAAAACCCATTTACTGTCACTGTATTCATGGCATGAAGCAGAGTGCTCATACATGTGCACCTCATCACTTAACATTATTAAATCCGCTATAAATTATTTTAAAATGTGCACTACTCAATAAATAAATTGACAAATACTTAATTGTATTTCACATCCTGAATAATAATGCTGTAGTCCTGGCTGTAGATCCATATACAGTGACTGTGACATTAAAGCTTATTGAAAATGATGTGCTGGCTCTGCCAATGATTAGTAGAAGTACTTCAAAGGCATACTAGTAAAACTGACTGGGACTGGTCCTGTCTACTTACTCTCACAGTCCATGCTAGCACTGACACTGATTTGGCTGCTCAGCTGACTTATTGGGTACTGATCTATAGCAAAAGTTGGGGTTTTGGCCAAATAGGTTAGTTTTAACCTGGATCAGTTTTTTAGTGCTTATCCAGAGTAAGCATAGGAATGAGTGGCATGGGATCAGAAATAGTATGTGGTGAGGAACACTGATAGCTTAACCTGGCTGTGGAAAAGCATCAAGCTTTCTGAATTTAAAAAAAAAAAAACAAAACACAAACAAACAAACAAAAAAACAAACCCCAAAACCAACAAAAAACCCAGAACGTTCAGCCTAGTGACAGCTTAGCCACTGCTGGCACTGTGAATCTGTCTACTGCAAAGCTACTTCTGCTTTTTGGGAGATCTATTTCCATGTATTGGGCTCACCAGCTTTGCCCAGGTTATTCTATTTGGTTTGGGGGCACAGAGCATGTTGAACACATTACCAAATAGTCAACTACATTATCACCAAGAGTCAGCTAACCTCAGGCAATATGATTCATTTCTGCCATCAGTGCTAACTCCATCTATCACCCCTACACAAGACATGACTTTCTGCCTTCACACAAGGTAATAGAAATGATGAGTTCAGAATTCAAGCAGGTTTCCTATTAAGCCCAGAAAACACAGAGTCCTGGTGGAGTTTGCAATAATGTGCTGAATACCAAGCTTGCTTACTTAAATATGATGCAGAATGGTATAACTACATTTATGAATGACTGAGCTGTCATGCAAAAGGCATATTAATTTGTTATAGCTATTTAAGCATTTGTGGGAGCTTTTCATGGCAGGGATTGTCTACAGCCAGATACATCTTTTTTTCTCCAAAAATTTGATGATCTGTTTTTAGACACAAGATAGTAACAGAGCCTATTACCAGAAAATAAAAGTAGAGTGTTATGTTTGGTTTATCAGTTCTTTCAAGTGAAGTGGATGCTTCACTTTTGGACTTGGCTTGTAGTAGAAGACTCTCCTGATATGCAATCACACACACAGAGCAGGGCTGGAGATCTGGTAGATAACACTGAAATTAGCTTACTCTGATTTTCCAACAGTTCAAAAAGGTGTTCATATATGCAAGGGTCATGATAAGCTTTATCAGTTCAACAGTGACTTTTGAGGGTAGGAGGTTTCAGCATGAAAAAGTGAGCTACCCACTATTGATACATGTAATTTTTCCTCAAAATGCTAAGCAGTAAGAAAGCTTCATACATTGATGTCAGCATTCAGGGAGTGCTGGTCTACCAGTGCTCTGCATGTCAGAGTCATGGGCAGTTGTTTCCCAGGAATGTGCTTTGTTTTGCCCATGCTATGCCTTTAGTGCCACAAAGGGTGTGTTGGCTTTTGTTTTGGGGTTTTTTTGGTTTTTTTTTGATCTCTGACCATTACATCAGCCTTTGTAGGTTATAATTTAGTTGAAATAATCTGCCAGGCGACATAAAAGTATTTTGCATTTGTGCATTCCTGGTGGGAAGCTCAGATGAATGACTGCTTTTGATACAGCAATGGTGTGAGGGGCCCTCGTGCACCACACAGGAGCTGGGGTTTATCTTTTCCGTTTGATGTCACTCACCATGATCCCCTACCAAATGTGTGAGGTAGGCCGTTATGCAAGGCCAGTGCTTACAACATCACCTCTAGGAGGAAGATGAGTATTACTTGGAACTGATTTTGAAGTCCTCAGATTTCATGTAATGTGGCAACACCAGGGAAACAGCTATTCTGAAACAGTTTTCCTTAGGAAAGCAGCAATAAAATCTTTACAGTAGCAATAAAACATGCAAAGAATCATAATCCTTGGAGAAGAGTACACTTTCCAGGTGGTTAATGCTAATGTACATTTTGGCATTCCACAGCTTTTTCCACTTGTCACAATTTCACCTACTGGAGCAGTAACAATCATCTTGTGTATGGTGTATGCATTAAGGAGCAGAGATAATGCATGGATATGAGGGCGTTGTGCAGTATTTCGATTCATGTGCATAAAGGAGAAAAACATTTCAGAAGGTGGTAACACGGAATCAACAATCACATTTCAGCAAGCAACACTCTGGGTTTGGAAGGATGGAGGACTGTGGGGTGGGCAGATATTAGCAGTGGGTGAGTGAAAAGAAAGGAGTGGGGGAGGAGGGTAAACTTTGATAGGTG